AATTGCACTCAATTCGGAATAAAATCGTAAATCAAATGCACATTCACGTTTGGACTTTCTATTGAGAACACGAGACAAGTTGCGGCCGGTGAAGACCATTTGAGCCTGAAAATGTCTTTCAAATCGCACTCAATGCAAATTTTTGCCAATTTTTAAATGTTGAGCTAGAAATGGAGTTTTGATGCAAAAGTACGCTGTTCTTAAAATGTCGACACTTTTTAACAGAGGGAAAATGGGAATCTGAAACCTTCTCCATCTAAGAAGGAGTCAGTTCAAGTTTCTAAAACAACTGTAAGTGGGAAAACTTCAAATGCACGGTTCGAAACACACCGAAAACTTGACTAGAAGTCACTAGAAAACCCGTCAATTGGTTTCGTCAATCGATTGAATATAAAGACTTTGCATCCATTTCTGGTCTAAAACCAATTTAGAGCGGCGCGATGTTGATTGAAATTTATTGCGATTGTAACGCCGAATATCCGGTTCGATTTTCGACTCTGAACCGGAATCCTACACCGGTACGGGGGCGGTTTTCTTCTTCGGACCCCAATAGGAGCCGTAAATCCACATTTGGACGTTGATACCTACTTTTCTAGCCGAGCGCTCTGATAGATTTGTGCCCCCCAACGGCATTAGCTTGCGAAAGCCCTTTCTTTGGTTTTGGTTCTTTTTTTGATAGGGATTAATGTTCGTCCAACATAACGGAAAAGCTGCAACCGGATGTGGACACCATGGCATGCGTATTGAAAGGATTTGTTCTTGTTGCTCCTTAATTCACTTTCTCTGGCGAACAATGGATAGATTGTGCTCGTGTTGTTCCAGACCGATCCCAAATTCACCCAGCTACTGATCGGAACCAATAAAGTTCCCCTTTTAAATCAAGATTGAGCTGTGCGATTTGAAAACCGAAGCGGCCTACTTTAATGAAACAAGACATCGCTCTCTTTGTATTCCACCGGCAGAAGACTTTGATCTTTCGGTGAGTGAGTGTGCGTTTGCTTATTTATTTTTCTTGGCATTTTGGCCTGCTGGATTTGTTCCAACAAACTGACCTGAACAGTGTGTTTCTTGGATGACCAGATGAATATGAAAAGTAGAGAGCCTATTTGATTTAATAATAATTTAAATAAACGAAATATTGATAAAAATTTACAGCAGCAGCACTAGCGCTAACGAGTCAAGGTCGAACCTGTACCAATTATTTTATTGTGTGAATAATTGCGGAAGAATAATGACGTTGTTCAGAAGAATTTTTACCAGATGAGGTAATACATGTGTGTTTTGTTGTTCGCAATAGGAGCAAGATCAAGGCTGACTGGCACATTAAAGAATGGTCGGAAGTGACTATTGTTTGCATGAGACGCTGAAACTTATACCTGTTGGTTTTTTCTACCATTTATGACGATACATTTTTCACGAATACTTCAAGAACAAAATATTGGAATAATATTGATGCCCCAGTGCAAATTCAACACAAATTGATTTTAGAATCCAATGAAGAGGTTGGCTGCAACTAGTTAGAACTTAAGTTCGTCTGTTTCTTGGTTTAATGTGGGTCATCAGCATTGAACTTTAAACAGATCACTCGACCATTTCGATGTGGCAAAAAACTAAATGGGCCTGTCGCAAAACAGAAATTACATTTTGCGGTTTCGGATACCGTGGACACACTAACACGAAAATTCGATTTGCTTTTTGCTAGTAGCTTTTGGAAAATTTATAATTCTTTACAGTAATAAAAAATTTGAATGCCTTATATTAATATTGGAAGAAGATTAGAATCTTTATAATTAGCCACGCCAGTTGTTTACCTTGTAGGTGAGCTGCTAATGGCGAAAAAGCAATTAATTAGGCAAATTAATTATTCAGCTGTAGAACTGTAGATGCAACTAATGTGCAGCAATTGCTTATCAGAAGTGCTCCATTTCCATAAAAATCGAAATTTTAATTAAAAACTAAGCCTTGGCTGTGAAAGTGTGCAAGCAGGTTGCTCCCAAATTTCAGCTTATTTGATGAAGAAAAACGCAATTTGCAAAACTCAAGTTGGGTTAACCACTTTGCATTAAAAGCGCCAATATTATTACAGCACAAGCCTTATGTATGTCTATTTTTAGACCAGTCGGATTAGATCCTTCCAGGCACTAAATGAATGAACATTTTTAAATATTGAGCTAGAAATGGAGCTTTAACTGCACGCTCCTCTTTAAAAGTGTGCAACTTTTAATTGGGCGTATGTAAAAATTTGCAATTCTCCCCATCCATAGAGAATATTTAACGTTAAAAATCAGCGTCGTTCAAATGGCATTCAATTCTGATTTTTGCCAAATTTTCAAATGTTTAAATGGATGACTCCCTCCATTCTATAACTCTTTGCGAGTAAAATACACCATTGGAGAAGTTTCTCCGACGTCTCAAAAAAAAAACTTTTTGGATCCTTTTTATATAACAAATAGGAGTAAACAAAAAGTTTTGAATATTTTAAGCTAAGATTAAAACCACTTATAAAGTGTAGAAAGTCCTTCAAAAGAGTTATAGTACGTTTTTTAGAAGCAAAACTAAATTCAATAAAGCCAATTTAAAAAACGTTAAAATCGGCTTTTTTTTGTTTTTTGAGTACACAAATGAACGGATTTTAACTAAGCTCAGTTTCTCATAGTCTCATATTGTAGGTATTTTTAATAATTGAAAAATGAATCAATTTTTGTCAAATTTTTCGAATGTAGCTAGAAATGAAGATTTTCATAAATTTTGAAATTTTTTATTGAGACAACTTCAACTTATCCCAATCTGTAAAAACTACTTGAGCCTGAAAACTATGAAAATTTTGTTAAACAATCTGAGCTTCTGTCCCAGGGCAAGTAGCAAGCTGAAATTTTCACACTCTGTGAAATCGAATTAATTCCTGATTTTTGCCAATTTTTTAACGTTGAAGTGGATGACTTCCTCCCTTCTATAACTCTTTGCGAGTAAAATACACCCTTAGAGAAGTTACTCCGACGTTTCAAAAATAACTTTTTTAGTCTAAAACAGAAATGAACAAAAAGTTATGAACATTTAGTTCAAATTTAAACCACTTATAAAGTGTGCAAAGACCTTCAAAAGAGTTATATAGTTATATATATATTTAATGTTTAATTAATGACAATTTAAAAAAAAACGTTAAAATCGGCAGTTTTTTTCGTTTTTTGAGTAAACAAATGAACTGATTTTAATTAAACTTGTCTCATATTGAAGGTATTTTTAATGCTTGAAAAAAGTGGAGCAAACTTTTTCCCCATAGCATCAACAGTTCAAAAGTTATGCGACGAAAACGGGTTTTGGTACTTTTTTGAATATTTAAACAATGTTTCACAGCCGGAAATCGATCTTAAGTTATTGTCCCAATATTCTGACATACTTCTGAGCAACGTCCAATAATCTCTTACCTTCATCCATTTAGCGCCCCAAACAGGCTTTTTAAAATTAATGTATGATATTGAAAATTTACTTACTGATGTTGTTATGACTGAATCGAGGCCAAAACGAATTCTGTGGCTCGAATGGGGCTGGAGAAACTTCTAAAAATGCAGCGTCATGTTTGAGTCCAGTTCGGAACTCAAACAAAAACACGCAAATCTAAAACTTCTTGAAATCAAGACTTTTTGGAGAAAACTGCGAACATTTCTTTATCGATGGTTCACTTTCTAAAAAGGCGATTTATTTCTCTCTCGAATGATCTAAAATTGAGCGTTCTTGCTCATGTTAATTCAGAGAAATGAGCAATAACGGGACGGAAAACATAAAATTTTGTCATAGTCTTAAGTCATAGTCTTAAGTGTCTGATATTCAAATTTCGCTTTCTGCGTCAAAACCGACCGAATTGCCTCACTCATGTTGTTATCACTGAATCGAATCTTCAATTCTCTATCCAACGATATTAAAACGAATTCTGTGGCTCAAACGGTGCTGGAGCAACTTCGAAAAAAGCTGCGTCATGTTTGAGTCGATTTTGGAACACAAACAAAAACACGCAAATCTAAAACCTCGAAATCAAGACTTTTTTGAGAAAACTGCAAACATTTCCTAAGCGATGGTTACCTTACGAAAAAGCCCATTTAGTTTTCTCTGGAATGATGTAAAATTGAGCATTCTTGCTCATTTTCCTTCAGAGAAATGAGCAAAAACGGGACGAAAGACTTGAAACCTTGGTATAATCGTTCTGGGGCAAAACTTCCCGAAGTTCCTCCGAAAAGAAATCTCATAGACCATTAAAGGCTGAATTTCTACTAACCCTGCCCCCTTGCCTTGAAAGCTGGATCCGCCCTGATTTAAAGTCTAATCTGACTGGACTATTTACGCGTTCTGGTTCGTTCGCTCCAAACAACTGTCCTTAGGCCGACTTAAATGGAAAAGAAAAATGTAAGGGCGTATTTCCCTTGATTCCTATTTCGGTAATTTGTCCCCGGGGCAATTTCTCAAGTGGACTTATATCGTGAGAGTCCAAGTATCAGGTCACTGTGCTCATGTGTATATCGGGAGCTATTCTAATAGAATCGTCCCACTAACCATAAAACCTAATGGACCTTCAGCTCGATGGAAAAGTTTGGGAATCGCCGCACAACATTACCAGTTTTTTTTCCGAGTTCAAGTTCCATTTTTTATTGAAATTGAACGAAAAGCCTGTAGCGAACTAGAGGCAGTTTCACCTTCTTCTCACGTGAATAACCAAGGGCGACTTGCTGTTAGTCATCATTTCACATGCAGAAAAAGTGCAAGAACCGTTACGGAAACTGTATCTATTTCATCAGTCGACTGGGTGTATAAGAATTATTAACATAATAGATAACTTCAAAGTTGCAAGTGAAATTCAGGTAATCTTGAATAATTTGGATGCGAATCCAACAGAAAACGACTCAAATCTGAACAAACAAAAATCGTTTTACCACATAAATGTCGATCTCAACCTCTTCGACGTTCCGAAGAGGGTTTTGCAGTGCGCGCGCTAAATTCGCGCGGAATTAGAAAGTGAACCGGAGCCGAACCCGGAGCCACTCGACATTTCTGCTGGTCGCAGAATCGAAGTGCGGATCCTGCTGGCAGAGTGTGTTTCTTTGGTGCGCATTTTCCGCAATTTACGCGATCGCAAAGTACCGGTTTAGCGGCTAACTTTCAAACTTGTGAAGTTGCAAACTGCCAGGGAAAGTTACGTTTTGGATTTTGGAATTAACGGAGTGAACATCTGAGCGAGGTAGGAATTTCAGCAAAGTTTTGCCAAAGAAAGTTTTTCTTTCCGGTAACTTGGCTTCTGTAGCGCCAGGCAAATAATATCTACACTTTTGATTTAAGAGAACCCTACAGAAAAAAAATCTGGCGGCGTTAAATCGGGTGATCTTGGTGGCCAATTTATGAATGCATCGTTGCCTTTTCCACACCAAAATCAGTAGATACAATACGTCAAATACTAGAAATAATTTGCTTCAGTTAAGTCAAGTGTTGCTTCTAGGCAGATACATTTTCAAACACAAAAACCAATTTGCATAATTTTTTTACAAGAATGTTGATCTGCAAGCTATTTTAAATATTTTTTGACCAGAAACTGTATGCCTGACGAAAATGTTACAAGTGAGAAAAAAATATCTAAATAAAATCAGATGGTAGTAGACGAAAATTCAGCAAAAATACAAACAATTTTTTACAATTTTCTCCCATTAAATAAAAATCGCGCTTACATCAAAACACGTCAATTTAAGTAGTAACTTTTGATTCCAAAACTAATGAAAATTGATTTAGGCGTTTAGAAATTATTTGGAAAAAACGTAATTAATTTGAGAACTTTAGGGCGCCCTGTACCGGCAAAATGGAACAACACTGATGCAACATTTCAGGGACACCCTGTATAATTTGCGCCTTATATACGGAATATATCGTCACCTAAATATTGTAACCCACCAGCAAAACCCGCTTAAAATGGATAAAAAATGTCAAGTGTTTCACATAAGTATGAAGCTTCTAGCGAGTTTTTCAATAAACGCTTCGCTCCCTTGATGATGATGTCAAATTCGAAAAATTTCGAGAGAATCGACAGGTCCCGAAAGAAAAACAGCCAAACCAATATTGGTTTCGCATCGTTTATTTTGGCTAAATAACATTTCCCAAAGAGAACAACCCATAGTGGGTGTAAGGACACCTTTTAACGGGGCTCATATCTTTTCCACCCTTCGCAGTATCTTTGCCCGGTTTTATTTCCGATTTCCTACTCTAAATTAAAGAAACTGAGGAGATTATGCCCTGTAATAATGGCTGAACCCCTTGTAAAATCCCCGATTAAAGGGTATATGCCGGCGATATTCTCGGATGGCATAAACTACTTAAGCCGGGTCTAAGGACTGAATTACCGTTGCTTCGGTATTACATTGTTGTACGGATTGTCGTCAAAAATATTATAGTCAGAGGGGTTGATGTGTTATTTTTTTGCGTTAATACATATTTATTGACTGGCGCAAAATTATCATTGCCCTTTTATTATTTTTGACTTCAGGGCTAACTTGAAGACGATAAAGCCCAAAAATCCACTAAGACTTCCTGTCTTTCAGTTCTTGTATGCGAGCGATAACATTTTGTAAGACCACAACCCAAGACAATAAATAAAGTGTTTTGTCAGGTTGCAAAGGATAAGCAAACAATCTTCTAAAAACACCACAAGGTACTTTGGGTTCATGTCAAGGCGATATCATAACTAGGAGGAAAAAGCGAAAATATGTTGATGTGTGAGCGTACCAGATTAGCAAGGACGTCAGTATGGAACCAAAGGTTTTATTTATTGCTATTTGGTACTGATGCTTTCAGCATCTAAGCGGCTTTGCAATAAGTTGCAAAACTTTCCCGTTAATGCCTGCTAATGAAATTGGTAAGTTAGGTGAGTAAAGACTCCTCTATTCGCCACTTAAGATTCCCAATTGGACCGATAAGGAAAAGTTAGAGCCCGAACTCCGCTCAACTGCCGAGACCGAGTTTTATCGGGAAAATGCAGCAGAGACTGAAAGTTAGCCGGAATTTTCATACTTTCCTTTCACTCATTGTCACAACGAACTGATCGTATTTAGATGGTACTACATCGGTCTGTCTCTGTGGGGAAACGACCTACAATTCGGCCCACTTTGCTGTATGCAAAAGGGCACAAGGCTTTTCACGCCCAGCTTTCCCAACTTGTAATAATTCGTTTTAATAGTGATATATATCACGTTTTTCCGCACGCCGTGCCTGGATCCCAACAGGCAAAGACAATAAATCAGACTTGAAATTTTAAGTGGATCATGCACTTGTTTTTTCTATCTGCTGAATATTCTAGGAAATTTGTCAGGATTTTGGCGAATTTTCTAGCCGACACGAATTTTAATATCAGCTTATCAGAGTTTTTTATTTGGCCAATTGGGTTCCATTAATTAGAGTTATTCAAGGTTTTGTTGAAAAACTGCCCAAGTAATGATTGGTTTCCCATGTAATGATGTGATGGTTCTTGCTGCTAAATGAAAATAACCAAAGTCTACCTGTCGGTCCGGCTTAAAGTTGAAAAGCGAAAGGAATACATTGAGGGTAAAGCCAATTACACTGAAACAAGGAAGCACATAATACCATTCATGGTCAGTAATTTAATAAGATTTGTATGGAATAGTATGCGCATATTACTTCATACGATTTCCTGAATTCTTACCGTTGCTTTACGTAAGCAACTAGAAGGACACTCTAAAATTTGCATATATTGGCTATTTTCGAAGGATTTTCGGTGAAAAACTGGAAAGCTGGCAAGGTTACTAGATTTGGCTTTAGATCATCACCATCGTTTCATATTAAATTTGCATAAAGAGCATTAGGTATGTTCATAACTCTGTTAATACCGATTCGAAATTTTTTCGAAAAGTGCAAGTGCAAACTCTATTCTAGACACGTTCAGTGTCTATAAGAAATTTGTATTTGCAACAGTTTGGGTGGAAATGGGGTCTGAATGGCAAGCGTAAAACTCTCTAGCTTGCACATACTTCCACTCTTTACCCTGCAACTCGGTCAGTTTTGGCGTAAAGCGCAGATTCTTGGCGTAAAAGCTTAAGCGCTGGTTATTCTTGAAATCACGCTCTTTTGCTACAAGTTTGGCTGCCCATCACGATTTTTTAACCCCAAGATGTATTTTTATGTAAAATGTCACTTTTCACTAGCAGGATTTTCTTATATAGTTTCGGAGAAAATGGAATTTGAAGTTACAGACTTAAACTGAGACCCACATTGTTTGCACACTTATTTGTCTACAAGTCCACAACTGTTGGAAATATTGCAAAACAAAAAATTGCGCAGAGTTGCCACGGGTATTCGCTAAAAATTAAAGGTCTTGAAAAAAATCGAGTTTGGCAACGGTTTGGGAATCCTGAACATTGGCAAACGTTCGACTGTTCCATTTGCGCATACCTCCACTCTTTTGCCCGTAACATCGTTAAATTTTAAGACTTTGCTAAAGCTCCAAAACCCCTAAAAAGCCCAAAGTCGTAGCTGTAAGAACTATTCTAGCCTCTAGTTGGAAAGGGGCAACATCAAGGGAGTAAAACGCGTTCGAACTCAGAGAGTGTTCAAAAAAATTGAGAAATTAATATTAGTTGAAAAAGATGACATTTATGAAGACTTTAATGCCAAACGGACGATTTTCCAAGCAAAATATTCTCAGTCAAATATTTCCAGTGCATTTAAGGCCGAGTACCCGAATTTTTGAAAGAATATAATTTTTTGCCTGCGGTGGCTTCTTATTTTAATTGTGGTTTTGCTCTGCGTGGTTTTCTTTGTGTGCATGATAAATGAAGAAAAATTTAATTGCATCTAAATGCCTCAAAAGAGGATCATCTCTAAATTCAATCGGATAATTTTGTTTGCTAGAATCGACTGTTAGCTCTAGTGCCTTTCTTTCATCACTCAGTCATGCCCTTAGCATGTTGACAATATTGAAAATATATTTAAAATATTCACATATTTAATACTGTTGATAAAAATAGGTTAGAATTAAGATAAAAATCTGTATTTACCGGTATTTATTGCGATTATTTTTCTATTGCTGCCTCAGAATGATTCGGAACCTGTTATTTCGCTAAGTCAGTCAGAAAACGATGTTATTAGTGAATAGAAAAATTACCTTGAAAACTTTACCTGTTTTACTCGAAGAAAATTCTAAAGCACGCGAAAATAAGTCGCTCTAATTTCGAAAACGTCGTTTTATAAAATGCGCCTCTTAAAATCCACAAATATGCACATGCGAACAGCGTAAATTCAATGAAGAAAAATTACAACCCTGGTTGCCATCTACTTCTAGAAAACGAAATGTTTCCGGGATCCAGACCGCCAAAAATTCCCTGAAACTCCAAATTTTTCTCAAAAAACTCATTTAGTCTGCTTAAAATCTCGATCTGGATCAAGTATTCAATTGCCGTAATATAATTTATCGGTCACAAAAAAAAACAGATAAAAGTTATATGAAAAAGGGTAAAGCGAAAAATTAGTGAATCTTCAGGTTACAACAGTGATTTAAAATCTTGTGAAAATGAATGAAATCTCATCAGAACTTAGAGAGGAGGGTAAAATTAAAATAAGGAAAAAATTAAAAATATTTCCTTATTAACTTACAGATGCACTTTAATAGGAGTATTATTATTATAATAGCGAGAAACGATAGGACTTCTCTTGTTGGACGATGATTAATTCAACACGTGCATTTAAATGGTATTTTACAAGTGAACATTTCAAATTACGCAGTTTTTTCGCCGCCTTCTAACGTCACTGGTGTGCAGATTGGACCGACGAAGAAAGTGGTGAAATGACTCGGTTGTTTTTACACATATGTGGCCATTTCTGGGCTTAAAATCGGTCATCTTTGGTCGAGACCAGCCGGAAAAAGTGGCTTTTTGTAGCCTTCGCCACTTTCATATAGTGACAAGGCATTCAGTTTAACGCGACGGTCCAATTTCTCTAAGAAATTCTTCTTGTTTTCTTCATTTTTACTTTGGAAGCACTAAATGGTTTATCTATTGATTATCGAATATTAACTGCGGTAGTTCCTACATTGGCAGCAATGGCAGCATTGTTGGATTCATAGCACAAACAAATATTTGCAAAGTTTCAGGTAATTAACAAAACAGCCGCTAAATTGACTGGCTTTTAGCGGATTTTGGCGTTCATTTTGCGCCTACCAGATAATCGAAAATCGAGTTACTGTTA